CAGACAATGTTTTAATGAGTAAACGTAACGAAGCAGACATTGAGATGACAGAAGACAAACAAAGACAATGTACTAATGTGTAAACGTACCGAAGTAGACATTAAGATTACAGAAGCCACACAAAGACAATGTTCTAATGTGCAAACGTAACGAAGTACACATTGAGATTACAGCAGCCATACAAAGACAATGGTTTAATGTGTAAACGGAACGAAGGAGACATTGAGATTACTGAAAGCCAAACAAAGACAGTGTTTTAATGTGTAAAAGTAACGAAGCAGACACTGAGATTACAGAAGCAATACAAATACAATGTTCTAATGTGCAAACGTAACGAAGTAGCCATTGAGATTACGGAAGCCATACAAAGACAATGATCTAATGTGTAAACGTACCGAAGTAGACATTAAAATTCCAGAAGCCATACAAAGACACTGTTTTCATGTATTGAAAAATGTTATAAACGTTACTTAAACGTGACGAAGTAAACATTGAGATTACAGCAGCCATACAAAGACAATGTTGTAATGTGTTATAAAAAAATAAAACGTTATTTAAACGTAACGAAGCCGACATTAATATTACAGAAGCCATATAAAGGCAATGTTTTAATTTGTAAACGTAACGAAGCAGACATTGAGATGACAGAAGACAAACAAAGACAATGTTTTAATATGTAAACGTAACGAAGTCGACATTGAGATTACAAAAGCCAAACAAAGAAAATGTTCTAATGTGTCAACGTAACGAAGTAGCCATTGAGATTACGGAAGCCATATAAAGACGATGTTTTAATGTGTACACGTAACGAAGTAGACACTGAGATTACAGAAGCAATACAAATACAATGTTTTAATGTATTGAAAAATGTTACAAACGTTACTTAAACGTGACGAAGTAAACATTGAGATTGCAGAAGCCATATAAACACAATGTTTTAATGTATTGAAAAATGTTATAAACGTTACTTAAACGTGACGAAGTAAACATTGTGATTACAGAAGCCATATAAACACAATGTTTTAATGTATTGAAAAATCTTACAAACGTTACTTAAACGTGACGAAGTAAACATTGAGATTGCAGAAGCCATATAAAGGCAATGTTTTAATTTGTTGTAAAATATTACAAACGATACTTAAACGTAACGAATTAGGCATTGAGATTACAGAAGCTATATAAAGACAATGTTTTAGTGTGTAAACGTAACGCAGTAGACATTGAGATTTCAGAAGCCATACAAAAACAGTGTTTTAATGTGTAAAAGTAACGAAGCAGACATTGAGATGACAGAAGACAAACAAAGACAATGTTTTAATATGTAAACGTAACGAAGCCGACATTAATATTACAGAAGCAATACAAATACAATGTTCTAATGTGGAAACGTAACGAAGTACACATTGAGATTACAGCAGCCATACAAAGACAATGATCTAATGTGTAAACGTAGCGAAGTAGACATTGATATTAGAGAAGCCATACACAGACAATGTTTTAATATGTAAACGTAACGAAATAGACATTGAGATTATAGAAGCCAAACAAAGACAGTGTTTTAATGTGTAAACCTAACGAAGTAGACATTTAGATTACAGAAGCCAAACCAAGACAATGTTCTAATCTGTAAACGTAACGAAGGAGACATTGGGATTACAGAAGACATACAAAGACAATGATCTAATGTGTAAACGTTACGAAGTAGACATTGGGATTACAGAAACCAAACAAAGACAATGTACTAATGTGTAAACGTACCGAAGTAGACATTAAGATTACAGAAGCCAAACCAAGACAATGTTCTAATTTGTAAACGTAACGAAATAGACATTGAGATTATAGAAGCCAAACAAAGACAGTGTTTTAATGTGTTATAAAAAAAATACAACGTTATTTAAACGGAACGAAGAAGACATTGAGACTACAGAAGCCATATAAAGGCAATGTTTTAATGTGTGAACGTAACGAAGTAGCCATTGAGATTACAGAGGCCATATAAAGACAATGCTTTAATGTGTAAACGCAACGAAGTAGACATTCATATTTCAGAAGCCATACAAAGACACTGTTTTCATGTATTGAAAAATGTTATAAACGTTACTTAAACGTGACGAAGTAAACATTGAGATTACAGCAGCCATACAAAGACAATTTTCTAATGTGTAAACATAACGAAGAAGACATTGAGATTACGGAAGCCATATAAAGACGATGTTTTAATGTGTAAACCTAACGAAGTAGACATTGATATTAGAGAAGCCATACACAGCCAATGTTTTAATGTGTTATAAAAAAAATACAACGTTATTTAAACGGAACGAAGAAGACATTAATATTACAGAAGCAATACAAAGACAATGTTGTAATGTGTTATAAAAAAATAAAACGTTATTTAAACGTAACGAAGAAGACATTAATATTACAGAAGCAATACAAAGACAATGTTTTAATTTGTAAACGTAACGAAATAGACATTGAGATTACTGAAGCCATATAAAGACGATGTTTTAATGTGTAGACGTAACGAAGTAGACCTTGAGATTACAGAAGCAATACAAAGACAATGTTTTAATGCGTAAACGTAACGAAGCCGACATTAATATTACAGAAGCAATACACAAAAAATGTTTTAATGTGTTGTAAAATATTACAAACGTTACTTAAACGTAACGAAGTAAACATTGAGATTACAGAAGCTCACATTAGATAGAAAATCTTAATGTACGACAACGTTGTATTTAGATAAGCCATATGCTTGTATTACAAAGGTTTATCCTGGATCTGTGCTACCTGAATGTATGGTTTAAACAGGTGGCATTCGAGAATCCGAGGAGGCAAACCAATACTATGAATCGATATCGGCAAAACCATATTTCAAATATGTGTTTCCTAACTTTGTTTTTGCAGTAGTTGTTTCCGCTGTGTAAGCTCTATAATCGTCAAACAGCAAAATTCCAACGGAAAACCCTTAACTAGAATGATAGAAAATTTTACTTTCAAGTTTGTTATTTGCATTCAAATAGTTCCAATCGATCGCTCACCGGAACATTCCATCTAATGGTACACATCCGATAATCATCACATTAGAATCCCACCTTTCTGATGTTTGCAACAATTTATTTTCCGGTGCTGATGTGATAGGGTCTATCTCAATAAACTTGTCGAAACAGATATGGAAATTCTCAGGTGTCGTTTACTTGTGCATCTCGTCGTAACGGACATTAGAATGTGATGTGAGGATATTATATTGCCCTAGCAACAAAGATACCCGACAACACACAGTAATAACTACCATTACACATCTCACGTTATTACAGGTAAAAAAAAACATGGTGATAATGAATGCCCTGTTTGCACACTATGTAACATTAAAAAAAACTTCTGTTCCCCCCCTAAACATTTATTAGGAACGTACTTTTTTTTTATATTAATTATGGCTTGATAAAACTAAGTATGTGCTATGGTGTTTGGTAACATGGTCAGTGATAAGGTATCTGCTGTCGAGAGATTGGACCAAAGTCTATAATGTACCAAATTATCCAGTATAGACTCGTACAAAATGTATGTTTTAATATATTTCAGGCCAATACCATTACGTGGACATAATGTTCTACATCACCAGGATATCGATTTCAGTAACTCGCATGGTTCCGTGCAGGCGAAAAACGTGGTTGTATTGTTTATTTAATAAAGGCTGAACACGTGAGATGCCATATTTGGATCATAAATCGTGCAGACTGGCAATTTATAGAATTTGTACGCAAACGTAGACCAGTACGTTTCCCAAGTCATGTGTTAATGATTCGTACGTAAACTATGACATAATGAATGCATATAATCGAATTTTCGTTTGTTAGTGTTGACAGACACGTTTGAATACTAATATTAGCATTTCTAAACAACACATTGCAAACAAATATAATGTCAAATAGATTTGTTTGTGTAGTCGACCCAATCGGCAGAAGGATCAAATGGTATTTCGATACGTGTTGGTTATTAAAAACCCAGTGATTTATTAGGTAAGGATTATGTCTAGTGCGTTTGTCTCAGTATTGGGCAAATGTTACCATATGTTGGATAGAATCATATCAGGATATTATACACACAATAATTAATACGGTAAACGCTACAAACTGATTACATGTAAATGTTATATGTAATGGTAAGTTAGAAGTGTGGTTTGTACTTTCACACTCTCAACTTTGAATTACTGTTTCATTTATATAAATTTTTCTCTGCACTTTCTACCATATGTCAATGTGAGGTGGAAATAGACTTTTTCACATGGATTTGATTAAAAATATATTTGTAAATATTTTATACAGAGATTCAAAAATGCATGCGACATAGCAGTATAGCTTAATTAAAGGATACACGACATTGCATGATTATAATATAAAATAATATTAACATCTTACTCAGAGAAATTTAATGAACCTTCATCGTCCCGATCCAATAAATATGTATATGATGTTTCGTATTCGATGAAACACTAATAATATATTTTATAAAGCTTTGATTCCTAATTTGTTAATTTGTAAATTGTTAATGAGCTTTTCGATTTTCTTTTCCAGCGATCGCCTGTGATAACGTGAAAAAAACATTTTTGTCGATTTTTAAAACAAAGAATAGTAGACGGAGACAAAAGCTCTTCCCCAACATCTGTCTTAAAGCATAGAATATGTTCGTCATTGCTTATTGCTGTTGTAACTAGAATGAGAAATTCTAGATAATGTAACTACAGAGGGAAATACGTAGATATCACATACAGTAAGACACATACATACAGTAAGAATAAGAAAAAGTTAAGTTAGAATAAAAAAAAAGATATGTAAAAAATGGGATAAATATTACGCAATAATTAGAGGTTTATATAGCATTTTTTTCTGATTCATAAGCATCCTCAAAGACGTCATTTTTATAAACTATTCGTGTTGCCCGATACACCTGTATATTGGTTTAAGTTCACCTGTGCATCCACTTGGCAGTAACCAATCCAATCCTTACCGCGATAGAAGTAGATTAACATTTGCTTGTATTTGATATTGATGAGGATGCGGAGCAACCGACAGTCAGGCATGTGATTTACCTGGTGCTCTTACTACGGAAACCGATGTAGCATTTAACCACATTTACTGAAAAAGGTAAGTGTGCTGTTAAACGTCTCCATTATATCTCCCTACACGGGAACTATGTAGCAATATAAAGCATATTTTCAGATTTCGGGTGTTTTTTTTACATTTTCACCATCAGTAAATTGTTTTGATAAATAAGCAAGGACGTACGTTATATAAAATCTGAAGTACAGGACACCGGGGTCATAGTTATACTGATTCAGATTATGTAGAAATACCTCTTCAATCAATGCAATAAGAGGCTTGGTTTCACGCATTGAAAGGCTTTCATAAAATTGAGACTTGGAGCATTATTAAGCAATATTTTATAAACTCCTTTTACTGAACTCTTCCAAAGTTCAACAATAGACATGACATCATGTATTGCAAGAATTGCATGCATGTATTACTTCTACCAGCCTATTCAACGAGGAATATAATTCCTGAACTAAAAAGTATCACATATAAATCTCTTCTAGGAACATTCTAATAGATAATTGGGTTTTTTACTTATTTTCATCGGTTCTCTTCGTATATCAGGAAATTATGCAAACGTTAAGGGACTTGACTTTTAAAATATAAAATCTGTCTTAATATTGACGAGAGACATCATAAAAACTACTGTATGTGGTGTATGAAATGGAGGACATATTTTTGCCTAAGTTAGTTATATCGGCTTACTTTTAGTTCTTTTTTTTGTTTTGCTGTCATCACGATTCCTGTTTTTGATTTCCTAGTTGTATGTCTCATGAGTTCCTATTGTCGTCTTCCCTTTTTATGTCTCCTGGGTTCCTATTGTCGTCTTCCCTTTTTTATGTCTCCTGAGTTCCTGTTGTCGTCTTCCCTTTTTTATGTCTGCTGGGTTCCTATTGTCGTCTTCCCTTTTTATGTCTCCTGGGTTCCTATTGTCGTCTTCCCTTTTTATGTCTCCTGGGTTCCTATTGTCGTCTTCCCTTTTTATGTCTCCTGGGTTCCTATTGTCGTCTTCCCTTTTTTATGTCTTCTGGGTTCCTATTGTTGTCTCCCCTTTTTATGTCTCCTGGGTTCCTATTGTTGTCTTCCCTTTTTATGTCTCCTGGGTCCTGTTTTTGTCTCCTCTTCTGTTTTGGTGTTTCCTCGATTACTGTTATTGTCTTTTCGCAATGATGTGGAGTTTGAGTTTGTCCTAGTGTGATGCTGTGATGCATAGTTTTTGAATCAAAATGTGTCACATTTAAATTAAAAATAGTGGATACATTTCATCAAAAATATTTTCAGGAGCACCCCTGACGATCGTGGATTAGGAAAACAATTTGCGCGCTGTTTTACCAATGACTGTTAAGGGATGGGCCTAATAGGGAGCTCCCTAACGGGTTAGGGGATGTTTTCTGTACACTCTACTAAGGGACACGGGTTTAACCAAAATATATCTGCTGCTCTCATTTCAACATTTTGTGGGTTTTTTTTCGTTTCTTTTTCTTCTGACTTATTTCACCTCGCACTTTGTATGTGCGTTCACTCATATGCAGAAGTTATTTTTCTGCCCCCTGTCCCCAGACCAAGACGAAGCCACTTAATTACAATTGGTATGTATTGCTATCTGCTTTAAATGTGTAACGGTAAAAGACTTGTATACATAAACTTTATCTATTCTACAACAATAATGAAACAAGTTATTTAAACTTATATTAATCACTCTTGTTGGCCCGGACATTTCAGTGAGATGACACTTTAAGCGGCCCCCGAGTAACAATCCCATCATCCGTGTACACCATCGTCATATGACATTAACTTTTGTTAGGACGTTAAATCGCAAACAAACCTAACAGTTCCGGGAAGTAATTATAGGGGCGGACGAGGACAATTGTCTGATACACACTTGGTATTGCTGATACATTTGTTATTTGTTTATAGAAATGTATGTAACCCTGCATAAATACATGTTATTGGTAATGTCAGAGATATTTAGGACACAATAGTGTGACTTTTATGACATGGGGCCATTCTCAAGTAGATATTGTTTAACTGCAACAAAAACCCATATGCATACTCCTGCAGTAATGGTGACATCTGTATGCTCACGAATAATTTAGATAGCTCATTGTGAAGATTCTGCAAGTCATTGCCGCATACAGTGCATTTTCGATGCTGGATTCCATTATTTACGTCAGGTGTAAATTTAAAAACTCAATCGTCAATTGTAAAAATCGCCTATCTGATATTCACAGCCCGGAAATAGTTCCAGTCTTTCTGTCTTTTACTGCTGTATGTATTGCGTAAAACGATTTTCTGTTGACCTCGTGACAATCCACTGTATAAATAAGTCAGCAGAACCTTCGTAAGCCGTACACTTTAATACTACCGTTATAATAGCCATTGATTTGCTTGTCATATGTGTATATAACTCCGACAGTATCCGCAGTATGCATGAGGTAGCTTCAGAATTGTCCGTATATGATATGTTACTGATGGGGATATTGAGTAATCCAGATCTCAATGTAAGAGCCGTTAAAGCAATAGAAAAAAATGAAAAAAACTTAACGACATGCGTTTTATAATAAGTTCTTCTGAACTGTTCTAGCTTAATAAATGAGAAGTACGTTTGCCTCGAACATGGATTTATATAGGAAAGTCAAGATCGGAATTAGAAATATAAGCGGAGGGGGACTAGAGACGAAAAAGAAACTCACCATTTTATCACTTTTATGATCTCTATCACATTCTACTTTGGTTTTACGTACGCACAGTAACAACTGTAGCACAGTTGAGCCGGGAGACTTTCGTAGACAAGAAAGTGGATCAGTCGCTTTGGTCTAAGCGTTCGAATCCCGGTCTAGCCCCTTGACTTGTTTACACTCATAACACTGTTGTTAAATATGTTAGGTTCATTTCATCTAATATTTTTCATAAAAATCCCGCAAGGTATGACTCTGTGTTCAGAAATGATTTATCAATGTAGTCGTGCCAGAAAAGAAGTTACCATTCTTTGTTACAGTTTTTGACAGTGGTACGGGTATTCTTACGTTGGTTCTGCTAATTTTCAACATGAAAAATATTTATGGAATCTTCCCTCGGTGTAAAGATCCTCTGTAACATCCTCAGCAGGGAAGGTGAAGTTTCCATGAGCAGTTAGAACAACAAACACCGTTATCGACGTGCTGCCATGTCCATGTTGATAAATTTAGGTCATAAATTAGAAGAATTAAAATGTACTTTCATCACTAACCCACCGTGCTCATTTCCAAAATATTCCTCAAAAATGATCTAAAATACATAAATGTATAAAAAACAAACAATTAATGCAAAACTATTTGATCACATTTTTTTTTAATCAATTCCAATTAAAAGGTAAAAAAAAAAAAAAAAGCCGGTCACAGATTAAGCTATTATTCTTTTCGTCGTAATCTTTAAATGTACTAGCAGACTTTTATTCAGCTTCTCTGCCTTTTTCAGATTCTGTAGCCAAATTAAGGCTTAAAACGCCTGTCTAAAGCGATGTGTAAACACAACGTTACCGTAACATCTCATAATACAGCCCAATAAATCCTACATCATATTTACAGACGGATGGCAATCGTAACCAGCACTGAATATATATGAGAATTCTAAAGGAACAGTTCAGCATAAACACAAAGTAAATATGAAATTTCTACAAACAGTAACAAAACTATTTTTCGAAGATTTATGTAATGGACTTGATACACGAATTAAACCTTGGTCCATGATGGTTGTTTGGTGGTCACCGGTTTATACCTTTCTGTCGTCCAAGCCAACGGACAACAGGACTTTTGTGTTAAACAATGGGATTCATTTAACTCCATTAAAACATCTGTAATCACAGTCGCCTACCAGTAAACAGGATGTCACCATCTCCTACACGGAACAGCCAGCCGCGTCTAGAACTCAGGGGATCACGCTGATTACGTTCAATTTAACAGAAGATCAGATAAGAAGTACTCTTATTTTAATATTTCAGTGAACTCATTTGAATATAAAGAGTTTATTTTTCATCCTTTATTCCTAATTGATTAATGTCGAGACGCAGAATGATGATTTTCTGTACAAATCCATCAGTTAATTAGCTTTGTTGATGGCTACACCTGCCTCTATAGATTTATCAGATACACATCGGACAGACGCATAATAGGATGTTTGTATGTTTACTTCGTTTGTTGAATAATTACAATTCCTCCGTGCGACCACTATCGATCCCACTTTAATGTATGTTTTTTAGCTATTTTTATATATGTGATGGTATTAAGCAAGTGGGGCTCTCAACAGGGAATACTTTATACACAAATTTGTTTTGTTTTATTTCTTGAAGCAATAATTTCAAAATAACGCTACTGCCAATTGAGACGGAGAGAATGTTTTTTTCACCTCAGTCAGAAACAATAGACTAGATAGTTCACGAATATAGCAAACTAACTGTTTCATTAGTTGCGTCGGGTAGCTGAAGGAACCCTGGGGTACTGCAAAATAATGATCCAATTTTCTATTGGTTAAATGTTTGGAAAATTCCCCGCAGCCGAGTCAGTAACAAATGATTACCTATGTACGTGTTGAATGCAGTTACAAAGAATATATTCGGTATATGATTTAACCTAGATTTGGATGGTGTTTATCGTCGGTGTAGAGTCTCTATGTACATTTTTCCTATTTGTATATTTTGCCAGAGTTTTACCGAACTCGGGTTCAAATTGCGGTTTCGATGTTACAACGATATTCTCTTGTTCTTTTTAAAACCGACTTTCCATACTTCACAGTGTTATACTATCATCGTTGTTTTAATATATTTGCCTCCTGATGACATTGATACCAGGTCACAGAATGATTGGACATACACGAGAAAGGACATTCGTAGTAAACTGAGAAGAAAAGGATCGTTTCTTGAAACATACGCCATAAGCAGACACAAAGATATATGTAAAAAAAAATGCCTTTATTCTGAAACCGAGGCTACCTTCAACAAATCATCAATAAACAACATATCGTATAAAATAAACCATCGATTCAAAAACTGAATAGATATGTGGCGACATCTATGAAGTGAGCCACATGGGCGATAACTCGACGTGTCTGAGTTTAAAACATAATGGAAATCGGTAATCCGTATTTTCTCGTCAGTTTGGCACTAATTTACAAAAATATGAAATATCAATAGGAATTCTGCAGGTTAATTTATACCTTAAGACTACACATTGAGTATCGGTCGCAGATATACAGTACGCCGACTTAAACTAGTGTTGTATGGTGTCAATATCAAATACGTGCAACTATGTAAGGGTTCGATATTCTAACTTAAGTATTAGCAGACATTTCATGAAACGAGCATTTCTGTCCTTAAAGACAATCAGAACTTCATCACGAAATACAGAATGTCGCTTTTATCTCGCGTTTGAAACACACGATAATATTGCTCTATGAATAATCCATGAACATTTTTATGACAAAACTGTATACAAAAGACTACCGGAAGTCAGAATCGATTTGTGTCCTTCATTTCCGGAAATGATGTAATCACTAACCTGTATGTTGACTGCAGATTGTATTTTTGATTGTGTTTAAATCAAATCTGATTTTGCCTACACCTATATAGATGTTTTATTTGTTTACTTCAGATATAATAATCGATCATTGTTTTTCATGAAGAACTAATGTCGCAAGAATGTGGCATTGATTGCCTAAAAAAGCATTGTGAAAGAGCAATCAATGACTGGATGTAGGCTATCAGGAGAATAACGTTTAAACACAATATTATTAATTCGTTTGCTCTTCAGTTTACAGCTGTAGAACAAATAAGTCTATATAAGTTTTTTGATATTATAACCTGATTATCGAACAAATGTACTCTACGGGAAAGAAGTAAGTGAAATTTCGTTGATAAGTCACCATTTTTTTCCAAGATACGCTGTACATTTTTGAGGTTTTAAAAAATCAGCTGAAGGTGCCGAATATGATCAAGATTATATTTTACATTGCAAGTTAACTCATGATTTAATGTAACCAACATTCAAATTCATTAACAATTACTATAATACATGTAAACAACTATTAATCTCCAAACAGATTCAGAATAACTTCAGAATTTTGGCTATTACTAACCATGATATATTTTTACTCGTTAAAACCAATTTTCATGAAACCGTTCTCATGCTCAAGCATGGATTTTGTGTTCAAAGCCTAATTTCTTGTTCCGCTTATAAATAATTAAAAAAAAACTTATTTTGTCAATGATTTGGGAAAAAATGCGATGAGACTTTCAGCTGAATGCTGTTTCCAATGTTTATAATTGGCTTTTTGATCGTTTGACATGATTTAAGTGAGTAACAGGAAAACCGGTCTGAGCACAGAATCCATACTTGAGCATAAGAACGGTTTCATGAATACGGGCCCCGTTCTTGTTAACTAATAGTAACAACTCTACATGTTCAATGTAACAAATGTAATTTAACCTAGACGTTAATTGGACATGTAACCCCCATGCAGGGTCACTAGATATTTCCTTTACACCTACTTACTAAGAGTTGTTACCATTAGTAAGTAGGTGTAAAGGCAATATCTAGTGACCCTGTATGGGGGATACATGTCCAATTAACGTCTAGGTTAAATTACATTTGTTACATTGAACATGTAACCCCCATATAGGGTCACTAGATATTACCTTTACACCTACTTACTAATGGTAACCTCATTCATATTTATTGTAACCAGAATACATGATAGCTAATGGTTATTATCATATACTGGGACCATTTATTGAAGAGATAACTATTATACGTAACGGATTCGTCCCACTGAAGACTCTGTGAGATAAACAGCTAATCATAACTAGTACCACTACTGATATTCAGATTGACTTACCTTTTTGCCTTCTTTTTACTTTTTTGCGATGTAGCGAGCAAACACTTCAAATCATAACCAATGGCAACTATGTATACACTAGTGATTTATTTACCTCCGGTTGGTGTTGATTAATGATGAAACATACCGTATTTATAGTAGAATTGACCGTATGATGTACGTGGTGAACGGATACGTGCGTTTCACAGAAGATGTCCCTATCTTATATTTACAAGGACAAACTAGCACAATACGGAAGCGCCTTATACATTGTAGAATAGCAGGTGAAACTTTCCAATACAAGCTTGGGGAAAACAGAAGTTCTTACCTATTAAATGATATAATTTTACTTCTTCGTCTAAAATGTGAAATAGCTCCGAAATAAACTTTATCTTTAAACCAACCTTTGATGTATTTTCCACACATGCTCACATAATGATTATACATTTTTTATTGTAGATGCGGACAACCTTCATCGAGTGGATTGTATGCACAGTGTTATGGGGCCTGTTTGGCAGTCGTTTTATATCGGGAACTCATGGTAAGAGGATAGACGTACATCCTTATGAGTTACTTATATCATATGTATGGAATATGTACGATTATAACCAAACGAAATACATTATAACATCATTACTAACTGATTTCAAAATAATATCATTACAATGTACACTATGGTAAAAGTCATCTTAGATCATTCGTGACCTACTACCTCGGTTTTCTTGATGTGCAACACATGTTAACAACACAGAACGCTAATTATATATCCGAGATTTGGGGGTCCTCGTGATATTTCTCTTTGTTTGGTGTGTCCTCAGTTCTAAATGTTTTATGTCGAATTTTATTTTTTACTACATAATATTATGGTATTTGGGCGGTGTACAAGATCAAGATTTGGTACTGTAAACGGGCAAAGTATGCATCTCGATGTATTTTATCTTTTAAATTGTATGTATGCATTGTTCATATATTTAGGTGTTACACTTATTTTTAACATTTCTGACAAAAAAATATACTATTTACCTGACTGTTTACAAATTGTGTTTTAACGTATTAGTTTGAAAATAAAAACTATTTTTGTTTTTATATCAATAACTATTTCATACAATAACACAGTCATAAACGGGAGATGAGATTGAAATAGGTGCATGCGTGTATCATTTCATCTTGGTGTATCAATTTAAAATGTGAACTTTACCCTTATTCATCATAATGGCAGTGACTTATATCGACCATTTGGTACTGTGTAACAGTCATTATACAATAGCGTGTACTGTGTAGCCTAATTACAGTCACAAGTACAATGAACACTTATAAACTCTGTATATATGTGTGTCATCCTAGAGCGGCACTCTAGACTGGGATCAATGCCCTGACTTATTTGTGAATGAAATTGTTTTAATTCTAGATATACATGTAAGAGATTAAACGTTTTTTCATTTATTTATTTTTTTGTCATTTAAAATCATTTATTATTCTTGAAATTCTTCTAAGTTCTCCAGAACATTTCAAAGAAACAATACCAGACTGACTACTTTCAAAATTATTTTCCAAGAGAAATCGGGGTCAGATAAACATAATATAATCACTAGTAAAAGTTTTCATATAGGACATTCAAAATTATTAAAAGTTGAATGCCGCTGTATTTTACTTATTTATAGTCTTTCTGACATGAGATTAGAGTACTGATTTTTACACAGATAATAATCCAACAGTATGCTAATAGAAGCAGCGATACTGCCTTTTAATACTAGCGACATTTGGTTTGCATGTGTGGCAAGATCTACTTTCAACACATTGGCTCACAGTTGTTTTTCACTTTGCTGGTATGAGTACAATAAATTATGTATAAATGTATCTGATACCATGTTCTCATTGCTAATGTTCTTTATACAGTTGTATGGTTAGCAATGTGTCGTCTCAATTTGTTAACCGGCACATAACTAAGTCCCCCAAACGAAGTGTGGAGACTTATTGTTTTTGCTCCGTTTCTTATTATATTATTATTATTATTTATTCCACTTTCTTCCGCCAGGGAGGTTTCCGCCATTTTTCTCGAAAAATACCGAAAGAAATTGAACGAAAGCTTACATGAGTGTTCGTGTATGAGAGGCATACTTAATTTCTGATTCTTAAAACAAAATGGCAGTCAAGGGGAGGCAGCAAATAGGTCAAAATTTAAATGTAGTCCGATTTTCATGAAAATTGGTATATAGGTACTATATGATACCACAGATAGAACTGTAACGTCCATTTTCGGTTTCAACAAAATGGCGCCATTTGGCCTCTGATTGGTCGAAATTTAAATATCGTCCGATTTTCATGAAAATTGGTATATAGGTACTTTATTACACCACGAATACAACCGTAACGTCCATTTCCGGTTTTAACAATCATTTCGTAGTAAAGGGGTCGTTTTGTGGACTTCTGTAATGGTCCCCATTACAATTAGTACTTGTTATATTTGATAATAGTTATATAGAGATTGGCGATTTATTACATTGTGTTGTTCTTATGACCACCATTGTTGTCCACCCTACGGACCTCGTTTTTGGTTGTGTTACCTTTGATACAATTATCATCCTTACCTATAGACACTGTATTGTAGTTTCCTTTAGTTCTCATTGCTGATGTTTCTGACGGATTTTGCGTAGTAATTTATTTGGATCCGATTGCTTTCCTTTTTGATGGACCTGGTACTGTTGTAATGTTTTATTTTATGTTAAGTGACATATTGACATCAAAAACTACTAAAAAATCAAAATGAAGCACGTGCACGTTTACAGTTGGTAGTTGTTGACAGAGACAAACCGGTTTCCATTTTTAGATCTAGATTGGTGTGAATTTGAATTCCATATGAATAAACTGGATTGGGCAGGTGCGCATGCAGTTTGCCGAGAGACTAATAAGAAATTAGCAAGAATTAATGGGTCGTCCCAACATGCCTACCTGACGAGCTTGTTCGCCACCAGTATGTCGTTGATTGCGGTCGGACTGACAGTTGAGTAAGTATGACACTTTGTTTTGGTTTTATCTTTTAGCAAGTAAAAAATATAAAGTAAAACATTGCTGTTTCCTTCTAAAATGAAAACATGAAAGTTTATGAAAGTTTTTTCATATTTTGATGTTTCTCAAATGTGTGTATCAGATATTTTTCGTTTTGTTCGCATGTTCTCCCATCAGACCGACCTTTTGGATTGGACTACATCACGATGCTCAAGGTTCTCTGCGCTGGGCCGGATGTGACGAGTTTACGTCACAGGCGGACTATGGCCCGGTGGTGGAGGACGCAGGGCCAGGCTGTTTCCTACTGGACACACGGAATACCCAGTACACAACAGAAGCCTGTCAGGAATCAAAACATTTCCTTTGTCAGGCAGACGATATCGGTAAATAACTCTCAAGAGGTTGTTTTATTCAGCACCTATTTATTTTGATCTCTAAACGATTTACCGATTATGTGACCTTGCAGTTTTATAGCGAGCAAAGCATTATCTTACATGTTCGAAATAAACTTATGTATTCGTTATCAATTGTTTAATTGATAACTCCCATCTTATTTATCCAAAGTCATCAATATCAATTGCTAAGAATATATTACGTAATACATTTTAATACAATCAGAAACTCAAAGGCATATTCCATACAACAATAGTAACTGTATTTTAGACCACACCATATGACTGACTTTAATCTTTGGTACTGGATATCATATCAGCTCCTTTTGTTAAAAAACAACCGCCATGATAACATCAAAGAACAAATTTAACAAGAATAACACTGTTGCTTTAATCATCTGGGCTACCTGGTCAACGATACTATACTGGCCTAATCGTGCTACAGTTCTGTAGAATGATAATATAATCAAAGGGGAGGCCACTATGTGCAAAAAAGTTAGAGTTTTGCATTCAGTGAGACAGGGAATCTTAAGTCAAATAATATGACTGGTCATTTCAGACGTTGAATCCTGTTTCACCCTGACTCATAACGTAGCAGATATGACGTACGTTCCCCAGGCAACCTATAGAAGTAAGACCTACTCGAGTGACTGCTTCGACCTCTGTACAGGCCCATGTCTAGGATTCAAACATGACACCAATGCCCATAAATGTTCCATGATGCTCCGTGGTATTGGCGGGAAAAGCGGCCAGAAGGGGGTGCTATATATAAAAGGTAAAGTCAAACACAAACCAGGTAGGATCTTATGGTCTATTAAACATACAAATTATATAAAGTATGCAGTTTGGTAACACAAAACTAGTGTGTTCACTTATAAATAAAGTAAGAAAACAATACCTCGGTTCATTTTAGCTATGAATATCAAACTTCAATTATATCAATGTTTTCAATACTGCCGCAACAGTTGAAATGATTATTTAACTATAGTATTAACATATACAGGAAGTAACAGCGTGTTGCTTAAAATAAAACAGAAATCCCTTTTTAAATCGCGGGATTCTGTGGTCGTATCTATTTGCGTATAAAGAACATTATACACGCGTGTATTCACCTTAATGTCGATAGAGTATAACTAAGGTACAAATACATGACTTGCTATTGTTATAGCAGATTCTTTAATTGTATAAATGATATTTACACTCTTACCAGGACTTCTGAAACTCGATGATCATGGAGATGTCAGCGCCCCGTATCTTCCGTCTGACTTCTGCTCTGAGGATATATCTGACGTCACAAGTACCTCGTCTGACATTATGGTGATTTCTTCAGTTGACCCTTCCTCATCGTGCTGGCTGGAGAGTTCGGGCTCTGAATCTTCTGAACTACAGACGTCAAGTCGAGGCATCTTGGACTCGTCCCATTCAGAGACACCACAATTGAGTACCACTGATGGAGGAATCAACACTTCCCCTTCAGATACTGACACAGGTAAAAGTAACACTGGTCAAGAATCCCTTTATTAAAGACAAAGGTAAACAAAGCTTTGGTCAAGAGTCCCTCTGATAAAGACAGAGGTCAACGAAACACTTGTCAAGAGTCCCTCTAATATAAAGACATAGATAAACGAAACACTTGTCAATAGTCCCTCTGATAAAGACATAGGTAAACGAAACACTTGTCAAGAGTCCCTCTGATAAAGACATAGGTAAACGAAACACTTGTCAAGAGTCCCTCTGATAAAGACATAGGTAAACGAAATACTTGTCAAGCGTCCCTCTAATAAAGACATAGGCAAACACTAGCTGTATAATGCTGAACTAATACATGTGATTTACCAACATATATCATTGACATTTAATTCGACTTTCTATCTTGAAAAAATGTCTCATTGTGTTCTACGATTTTCAGGTATGTGTTCCACGTCTTCCGCCTACGTATCAACTTCGACGTCTCTTACGTGTTACTGCCCATGTGGTGACGTCACGAACACAACAATTACACCTAAACAACTGGAATCCAAAATAAATGAAATAAAACAGACGCTGACGGTTAGTAAGAAAGCTACGTCGTCATGGAAGAGGAAGTTAGTTAGTACACCGGATGACCGTGTGTCTGCGCAGAGTATCGGATATATCGGGGCTGCCATCATGTGTTCCATTGCGGCTATAATGATCATCATGGATCTCCCGAGACTGGGTGGAGATTTCAAACGATTCGTCAGATCTGTGTTCTCTAGTCGTGTCCAGAACTTCGATACTGATCCGCTACCGAAATGATCTTACATACAGTAACCAAACAGAACATTTTCATTCTGTGCTGGTCACCTATTGCTATTATTGTGATTTTATAGCTTGTTCACCAAGCTCCATCTACTAAGTAAAAAATGACGGAGGATAAAAGGACGTGCCAGTGGTTGTAAAATGTGTTCCTTACGAAGGATGAAGAAGTGTTACATTAATTCACTTTCATTCAAACAATTATTGAAAACAATTTACACGATCAAAAAACAGTTATCTCCTGATAAGCTCTATTTTGCTTTTCAATGTCATTTTAAATCACTAGCAATCACACGAAGCAAAAAGCTTAGCAAACAGTTTGAATATCATGTGTATCAAAATTATCTGTTTATTTTGAAGGTTGTTTCGAAAAAATATATTTCACAATTTGTAAACTTTTCGAATATTGCATTAGACTAAAAACAACACACAGAATCAATCATCCCAAACCTGACAAGCACTTTCCAGAACTGGTAAACCCATTTTCGTCCAGTGTTAAAATCACCCTTCACATTTGGTTAATGCTTATTATTCGTTTCTTAATATTCGCTGTAATGATTAAATCACCCACATTACGAGAATCGAAAAGGTAAAAGTTGCACAGCGGCCAATATTTCAAGATATGCAGTATATATTTGATGCTTCAGCAAGCATTGTGCTAAACAGTATGCATGACTAATCTATTACTGTATCAATTATCTGTTGAGACTGGTGTCAGTTACATTATCTTTGCTATACTGTTTGTCTGTGTTAGTATGATGCTCTAACACTGCTTGCTAAACAACATGTTATTCGTTTTACGTTTTATATAGATAACAATCCATAAATAAACTGAAGATTGAGAGAGCCACTGGGGTATCAGTTTGTTTACTGTTAGCGGAATCATGTTATGAATTTTAGTGGGTTCTGATCATAATAGCTGACTAACTAGTCCACTTACAGCAAAACCTTACACTCCTATACTTGCATGTGTCTCAAAAATACAAGAGAAGTCAAACTTTTCATAATAAATTCAAAATCACTTTATAAATGATGAAATTATTTCAGAAATATGTGTTATTTTTCTTGTGATATACTACTTTCGTCCTGTTCGACGTTTGTTGAAATGTAGTTTTACAATTCGTGGTCGCGTTCAGGTTGTCATTTACTCATCAACCGTTGACGTGAATATCATAAAGCTATATGATCAGAGAAGTAGACCGAAACAAAAACACATATAAATGACAACGATTATACGATGTAGGTTATCAATAAGTTCATAATTGTAAAACCGACCAAGGTGTCACTTTTATTGAAACTTCACTTAAATGTGAACATATGACTTCTCAAAAAATATTTTATTATTGTAAAATATACTAGTTATCTTAAACCATTATCATTTATTACTTTTACGAGCGTGAAATCAACAGACTGCGGAAGATGGTAGTGCGATCAACCTTATTGGTAATGTTTTTAATGAGAGAGGGTAAATGGGTGCGCTATTTATAAAGCTGTTATCTAATTATTGGTAACCAATATATATGTGCAATTTTTTTATCCATTATAATTTCCATGTCGATCTATTGTCGGTAATTACGTGTCCTTAGGGACATATTCTCTCTTGAGAAGAACCACCATTACCCATATACTTTCCCCACACTGTTAAAATAATTGCGAAATTGGTTGTAGCATAAATGTATTCACATATTCTTCTAACTTTTGAACAAAAACTTTACTTTAATGACAATGCTAAGTAAACAACACTCATCAAGTTATTTATCTGTTACTTCATTAGAAAAGAAACTTTTCCCGCCAACGCAAAATGATATAATGATATAATTTGAGTCAATAAAGGAAAGAGCTACCTAAGAGAAACCAAAAGTGCATGAAAAACAAAGCATAGCTTTATCTTAAATGACAATTTTGCCACAAACAATCTAAAGTGTCAAATAGTCGTTTTTATATATTCCACTTGTATGTTTCAGACTAGCTTTCTGATTGATAATTCTCGGCTATATAACTTATTTAAGGTTACAAATAAATTGAGAGAAACACATTATGATATTCCTTTATATATATGTAGACATTTATAAGAGGATTTCCTCCCTCACATGCAGAAAATTTCTTCATATCATGTCGAAAACATTATCTTGCGTCATAAACATGACGTCATTATTAACATTACAAGTTGGTACCGGCTATATCTGTTTTTTAGACATCTCCATGAAAAGAATTGAAGTAAAACATGATCGCACATTATTCTTGTTTGAAGGTACAGGACACATTGCCATCCTCATCTTGTCGATTAATTTCCACAGGTAAATTTTATCAGTTTGCGCTTTTTTTTATGACAACACACAGTTACCGACGACATGCACAGTAAAAAGGAATAAATGTCAAAACGAGGTTATCACTATGTCCATATCTTCCTCCTCTATATAACATTGTAAGACAAATTTATCAACGTTCAGAACGTAAATTTAAGAACGAACAACATCGAAAACCGCAAGCTTACATGGAGAAACATGGTATGTCGCCCGTTATTTCGATAATGTAGACCCTTTATTTGATTTGACGTGTGTGGCTGGAACCTTTTTCAGTATATGATCTCATCGTCGTTATGGTACATCTGTGATCGTTACATTGAGTGTCACACAGTGTATCCGAGTATAGCACCAGAGGTCCTTTCCTGGTGGAAAACGTTTTTGGAAGAATCGCTGGAAATCGGGGCGTTGTCCGTTTAGAATAATCCACATGGCGATACAGTCGATTGATAGAGTCCAACGATCGGTAGCGTCCGTTTGGTTTTAGGGATGACTTTTTTAATTCAGCTTTGTCTAGTGATATTGAAATTCGCTCATAACTTGTCGAGTTCATTCTTACTAGGGCCTTTCCCTGACAAATATCAGACAACATGTAACCCATCCTTGTACAATGATATGGTCGTGGTGTCACCTCCAAGCATTCCTTCCTTTCTAGTGAAACCGTCCACTACCCTCAAAATGTATCCTATCATGACACACTGCGTACGTTGGACTAGATAAAGATACAAAGACGCAAAATCCACATTGTCAAAGCTCATACAGTATCACCATCTAACGGATTTAATCAAACATCTACAATAATACCTGTAGGACAAAGTCTGGTTTGAATCCATTCTAGTCACATTACCACAGAAATATCCCTCAGTTATACTACAATGTTATCACCAAGTCTCGTACGGACGTTTTCAATGCCGTCTCTCTTAGTGTCATTGAGAAATCTAGAAACACTTTCTTTATTATATCTAATCAATACAAAATGCTTTGTGTAATCCTTTGGAATTATTCCTTTATAAATTGTTATGACGTTTAATATAAATGTTACAAAAGGAACATTAAAGTTCATGAAAGTGGTAACAGGTTTCCTTTACAGATTATTCATTGCATTGCTCTTCCATTCACATCTAGTACAACCTAGGTTTATACATGGTAATTGGGGGTTAAGATTACTTGTTTATCACGTAACCTTCAGTTATTCATATTTTCACACTGGTAGAGCATAAAAGAAAGTTTGACTTCAAATCTATAATAGAAGCGTGTATATACAACGTAAGTATTGTGTGTCACTATTGATGATATTTGACATGGTTCATGACACAATTGTGTATTGGTTTTAGTATACAGCATAGCAGCCTCAATATGTAGAGCAATAAGTTGTAAGTCATTGTACGAAACTATTTTTAGAATATCAGATGATTTATTTATGTAACATTTTGACGATTCACATCCTTTACTTATTTCATTCCCACGAAAATATTTGTATTTCCGTTGTACAACCTCTAACTTAACACAACAACTCAACATAATATTGTAAAGGCATAGTTTTCATTCGAAATCTGTTCGGAACTTTCCGTCATTTCGTCAGAGTAACCATGGACCAATTATGACTTTACATCAAATTCAAAATTTGACAGAAATTCGCGATAATCTGTGATTGAGGAATGTCATTTGAAGGAAATGGTTTCTTTAATATACTGGACATTATTTGTATTGGAGACCCTACAAATAAACCTGTGAAGAGCAAAATTTAAATTCTTCTGATAAGATGTTCTTTCACGCAAACCGTCAAAATGTTACAAAAGTTACATAAGGGTTACCTCCCTTCCACCAATGTTTTAAAACGGGTTAGGGCATCGATATCAGTGTGATAAGGTCCGACACGTTTATTGTGATATTGGGGAGTAGCTATTGCTTCTTGCTCTAGATGTTCAATGACCATATTGGCCACAATAGGAACCACTGGACTACCCATAGCAGTACCGAAGCGTTGTTGATAGATGTTGTCTCGGAAACTAAAATATGTTGTTGTCAACACATATTCCAGCAAATCCATGATGTCCTGAATCTGGAGGTTTGTGTGTTAGCACCAGGATCTGTCTAATACTAAGCGTTTCCGAATGTTTCTAAGTGTATCGTCAATGGGTGTGTTGGTAAAGAGAGAGACAACATCATGTAAAAACAAGTATAAGAATGGTTAATTGACATCAAAAAGGACACTTGGCCAGGCAAGCCAGGTGTTGCAGCATCAAAGAAAAATAATGCTACTTTGCAAGCGATAATTAAGGATGATGTTCGTTAGACTAAAGTGAACCAATCGAATATTGTTGACTTTGATCAAAATTTATTTGCTTTATTAGTCACGATATATTTTAATGGTTATAGGTATAGTGTCTTGTCTATACATCTCCAACGCCAAGAGAAAATATATAGTGTTTTACGTTATTTACTTAATTGAAACAATTACCTGTTTTACCCTGGATTAGAAAAGAATACGAGGTACTCGGAGTACAGTCTTCCTGATACATTCTAAAGGTTACCGTCCCAATTCAAAATACACCGTTGCATTACACATAGACTTTTTAACTTTTAGAAATACTCTTACAAAAATAAAAGTGCTCCTTTTTGATATCTAAACTTTTTGAAGAACCTCAAACTTCACAATTAAATTTATTATTCGATCTACGCTTTACGCATAAATATCTGAAAGCGTCTCCAATTTCAATTTTCTAAGTTTACAGTTAACTTCCATTTTGTAGAGTATTCAAAAGGACTATCAAGAAGAGTCTGCAGGCTCTGTACAGATTCCGAAAAAAATAGCCAAATCATCTGCATACATTAAAAGAAACAAACTTAAATCACTGAAGTCGTAATCTGTTGGACCGTTCTCAATAAAGGAGTTTCAAAATCATTGATAAAAAATGAAAACAGTAATGGTGACAAAATTTCCCCTTGCAATAAACCGTCATTGTTTTCAAAATTGAAACACAGGATTTGACTGATTTATAAAGCGACTTAATAACAGAATACCAAGCCTATACATCTTGCGCCATAAGATTAAGCTGTTAACAATATCAAACGCTTTCCGAAAATCTACAAAACAGCAATACAATCTTTTCCAAGATGACAACGTTTTTGTTATAATAGAATGTAATGCAAATATAGCATCTATCGTACTCACTTCCGGACGATTGTACTCTTAAGACTTTTCAAACCATACAAATACTTCTTACGCAAAAATTGTACCCGATCATTAAACCTGGGTTTAGTATCTCTACTGGTCACAGTAACATTGCCATTGGCGGGAGGCGTGATGTTGGTCATACGCATATCAGAGTGTTTTTTTATTATTTAAAGGTTCCATGATACCTTGCAATGTTCAATGTAAAAGTATCAACACAAGTATTGATCGAGTCTTGATTAAACCATCCAGTTATAATATCAACAGAGTTGTTTAAACTATCTGAATTAACTCCTATTGATTCCATAAACTGATATTTATATTCATCCCTGCAATTGAATAAAGGTTTACTTAGCAGGTCTTGCTCGTATATTTCTGATCCTTTAGAAAG